CCAGTATAGAATTCTAGATTATGGGCTGGCAGGAGGGCCAGAACTGGCTAGCAGCCAGTTTTTTTTTTACAGCCCGTGAGCTACAAATGTTTTTTACATTTTTTACGTGTTGTTAAGGAAGAAACAAAAGAAGAAGAAAAATACGCAATAGCGGCCATGTGTAACCTGCTGTCCCTAAAATATTTTTTATCTGGGCTTTTACAGAAAACATTTGCCAATTCTCTACTCTAGATCACTTGGACTTGCACACTCCCCACTTAAGGGAACTCACCACCTCCACGGTGGGCAGTCTTATTCTTTGGGGCATGGAAAGCTCTTCTTTCCACTGAGCTGAGATCTGTCCCTTGAGGTCTGTACCCTTTGGGGATCCACAGACCCGTTGGTCCCTCTGCAGGACCCCCTGTGGCAGGCCCCTAGCTCCTTCGGTTCTTTCTTGCACTATAAATTCTTTAGGAGAATGCTTTGCCCTCGGGGGCAATTTAAAAATGGAAAACCCTGTGCGCAATGCTCTCCTGAAGATCACAAGAAACACAGTGACAACAGTCATGGCTTATTTACCTCCTGCTGTGTGCCAGACAGTGTGCTCTGCCACCCACCCAAGCCCAGGGCAGGGTCTTGCTGCAGACACCGCCTGGGCACAGAGAGGAAGTGAGTGCTTCCTCACAGATGGGCAGACGTGTGGTCCTTCACCCATAGTTGCCCAGGCAAAAGGAGGAAGGAATTCCTGGGGAGCTTCTCCCTCTATCCCCAGGAGAACTGTGGGAGTGAGGAATAGCTTTTTACTGGAAACCAGCCAGTCCAAGAGATCTCAGCTCCCCAGAGCCAGCCTGTTCCTTTAAGCTGACCCCCACAGAGCTGTTCAGTGACTCCTCTGGGCCTCTTCGCCCTCCAGGTTCAATGAGGGGTCTGGACAGAGATCTCTAATAGCCTCTCAACTCTAGACAGGCCGACACATGACAGTGCCCCCTCAGACTGACCAAGCCCCTTCGCTTTGTCCCCAGCATGCATGTACCTGCACAGACCCCTCATCGGGGCAAAGAGATGTGAGTGGGCTGGGAAGGGAGCAGGGAAGCAGATGGACGGGCTGAGCCTGGTGCATTTTGTGCACAGTGCTCTGACTGACATGTTGAGGAGGCATTCATAGTGGGAGGCAGAATCTGGCTTTGCTGGGTGGGAGGAGTCAGGAGCAGGATCCAGGTGAGACCTAGGGCAGATGCTGCATGGGAGAGAAATGAGACAGATTGGGAGGCAGAATGGAAAGAACCTGGCGATTGATCGAATGTGGGTGGCGATGGCAGAATCGAGGGTAGCTCCCAGACTGTGATGGCCACAGAAGGAGCAGGGTTTAAAGCAGGCACGCAGCAGCCATCACAAACCTGAGCCAGGGCTGTGGAGGCTGCCAGACCTTGTGGAGACTGGTCTGTGGCATACTGTTGGTAGACTTCTTTCCTAGGGGCACCCCAGCCACTTCTAGGATTGATGCTTGAGGGCAGAGACTGGGTGGAAGAGGTAACCCCAAAACTTCTTTCCATGTAGGTCTCTTCTCATTCTCCCAGGCACACCCCCTCGCCTTCCCTGGGTCAAGAGTCAGCTTCAAGCCCCACATAGGACGTGGAGCCCCCACACCAGCAACAGGCATAGAAAACCAGGCATGGCTTCTTCCTGAAAATCCCAGGCCCCAGATCAGGAGGCAGGAACTCACTGCTCAGCCTTAGCTGCTGGGGGTGGAGAGGATGAGTCTGGGGCCAAGGTTAATGCGAAGGGGGCTGGCTGCCCAGCCTTCCTCACCCCCAGAAAATGGTCTGAGTACAGCCAGAATGTTCCTTAGAAGTGAGGATGGTGAGACTTTGTCTCACATACTATGGACATGTTATCAGAAGGGATCAGTCCCTGGAGAAAGGGCACCGTGCTTGGTAGAGCAGAAGGTCAGCGAAAAAGAGGAAGACCCTCAGGGAGATGGATTGACATAGTGGCTGCAACAACGGGCTCAAACATAGCAACAATCGTGAGGATAGCGCAGCACGGAGCAGTGTTTAGTTCTGTTGTACATAGGTTCGCTATGAGTCAGAACTGACTCAACAGCGCCTAACAACAACAATCAGAGGGCCTAGCCTTGGACAAGATTTGGTCTCTCTGACTTGTGTTACCACAGGCATGATACTTAACTGGGGCTGGGGCGGGCCTATGATGACACCACATATATTAACTACCTCAATATCTCAAGCCAAGACCCAAGAAGAAGGTTAAGCTGAGCTCCATAACAAAACACCATCTCTCCCCTCTTTCCTCCCTGACCGCCCCTATGTCACACCCTTAAGTTCACTTAGGTAGTAGAATCTTTAAGCCCTCACTCAGCACTTATTTACTCTTACTTTGCTCACAATCCAAACAAGTTCGTTTAGCTGGTTTCTTGGCAAGTTTCTAAAAGCTAAGTGGAGCGTGTATGAGATAAGCACCTGAACCACAGAGGGATGGAGCAGACCCTGAGAACTATGGAATGCAAGAAACAAAAGCCACCTGGGGCCAGTTAGCACAGGCACGTGCCCTTCAGTGAGCCCCAGGGACTTGTTGCTCAGAGCAGCAAAATGAGAGTGCCAGAAGGGAGAAAGGTTTCCACCCAGTTAATGGCCAGAAAAGTTTGGGCCTCCGAGGGGTGAGCATCATTTATCTGGGCAGTTCTCTTATCCGGGACAGCTTGTTCTCTGCACAGCCTCTAAATGGGCCATAACTGTCCCCAACTCGTCCTCCTCTGGGGCCGGTTTTATCTCTTGAAGAACGCAAGCACTGCGTTTTGTTTTGTTAAAGACTGCCTTCTCAGAGAGGGTCAGGAGCTGGTTGAATGGACATGGGAAATCAGGGGTGGAAAGGAGGAGTGTGCTGCCACAGTATAAGCAGAGCAATTAGGGTCGCATAACAATGTATGTATAAATTTTTGTATGAGAGACTAACTTGAATTGTAAACTTTCACTTGACGTACAGTAATTTAAAAAAAAAAAAAATCTGCCTTCTCTCTGCCCTCAGCAGATGCAGTGTTTCTAGGAAAAGAGCTCAAGGCCCTTTACTCACTGATTCCTCTATTCCCTGACCAGGGGGCCCCGGCTCTGGGACAGGCCCTGGTTTGAATCCACTTGGGGTCCCTGCGCTCAGGGAGGACAAAGTCCTGGGAGTCAGGGAAAGCCTCTCAGAGGAGGGAACCTTTGAGCTGAATCGCCAAAGGTTTCAGTGTAGTAAAGCAGGGTGCCCTTCAGGCAGGAGTAGCGGCATCTACAAAAGCATGTAGGGGTGGGAAAGTGGGATGTGGAGCCGAGGTGAGGCTGATGTGTTGGGACTAGGAGCTGGTGAGGTGATGAGGCTGGACTAATATCTGGCGGGAGCCTTGATTTCAAATTACGGGGTGGGGACTTGGTTGGATTTTGTCAGGGTCTGTACCAGAATCTGGTGGAATAATTTTAGGAGTCCCCTGACTCATTGATGGTTTCCATTTATTTACTTATGATGGAGTGTTAACTTATGTGCCAGGCACTGGATAAGCACGTTAAATATGTTTCTCCAAGTCCCTGCAACACTGTGAAGTAGTGCATACATAACTACGTGCAAATGCCGCCATTTTAGGGTTGAGGCCTGTGAACTCAGAGATGACATAACTTGCCCACTGTCACACTGGAAATGAGTGGTAGAGCTGAGTTTAGTTATGCCCAGATTCAGAGCCCAGGTTCCTACCCACCGCACTGTCTGGCTCCCCTGGGAACAGACAAGCATATCCTCAGGGCTGCCTCTCCCGTCAGCCTTTCCTAATCCCTGGAGCTGGGCCTCAGTCAGGTGTCTCCAGACTTGGCACAGATCGTGGCAGCAGGGCAGGGAGGATGGTGAGAGGCCAAGGACACACTGCAACTAGAAGGAAAGCACCCTGGGGCCAGGCCTAGCAGACTCAACAGGCATTCCGGGGACTGTGGGCCTCAGTTTCCCCTTTGGCAAATGTGGCTACCCACAGCCTCCTCGGGCTAGGAAGGGGGAGGGAGGACCCCGAGTAGTGGCAGTGGAGGTTGGCGAGGCTGTGCACTGCTGTGTGTGTGCATGTGCAGCTTGCATGTGGGGTGGGGGCGGCTGGTTTGGGGTGGAGTTGAGCTGCAAGTGGTGAGGGGAGGCAGGGCACACAGGTTTCTGTCTGGTTGAAGACTATGAGCACAAGTGTGGTGTCATGCCATATGCATACAGGAAGCTGCGTTTCTGTGTACACTGGGCTTGCGCACTGGGTGTGTGTCTGTACTGGCCAAGAGCATAATGAGTGTGCTTAGGCAGAACCGGTGCTGCCCGCCTGCCACATACCTGGGAACCAGCAGGTCGGCCCTCCCTTGGGTAGGGGCAGGGCTGTGCTAGGACAGGTGTCTCCAGTTCCTGGAACTGCTTCCTTCTCCAGAGCCCTCCCCTTTACCTCCCAGCTGGGCACCTGGAGAGGAGAGGAGGCTATGGGCTCTTCAAGGTGGAACTCCCAGGCCAGCCACGAGGGAGCTGAGCCTGAGGGATAGAAGGTGGCAGTGTGAGTCCTGGGAGCCTGTCTGGAGGGTGATGTGTGTAAGTCCCCTGTCCCAGGCCCCAAGTTCAAAATCAGGGAACCTGGCCTTCCCCTCCTACCAGGGCTGTCCAGAACCCATCTGTCCAGCTGTATTTCCTCCAGCAGCGGGTGGGGACAGGGCCCAGGTGGCTGGAGCTGGGGTGAAGAGGAAAGGTACAAGTGGGGAAGAAGGAGTTTCTCCCTGTACCTCTCTGCTCTCTGCGGGAACTTTCACCATTGGTCATTTGCCCTCGTCATCCCCAGCAAGTCATGCTGAGCATGTGATACCACAGGGCACTGGAAACCACACCTCGAGGAAGTGTGAGAACTGGCACAGCTCCCAGAAGCAGGGCCCAACCGCTGGTTTCTCACCTGGGGAAACTGAGACCCTCAGAATGGGAGGGACCTGGCCTGGGGCTCGCCCACCAGGCTGCTTCTCCCCCTGCAGGTGATCGAGGAGTTCTACAACGAGACGTGGATCCACCGCTACGCCGAGCCCATCTTGCCCACCACGCTCACCACACTCTGGTCCCTCTCCGTGGCCATCTTCTCCGTGGGGGGCATGATCGGCTCCTTTTCTGTAGGCCTGTTTGTTAACCGCTTTGGCCGGTGAGCAGAAGGGGCCCTGGCTCTGCCCTTGGGGAGCTCTGGTCTGAGGGAAAAAGATGGAGTCCTGCCCAGGGAATCCCCAATTGGACTGGGAGGTGGGAAGACTGCCCTGCCTGCCTGTTCTAGGGTATTATCAATGACCCCCCTCCCAGGGAGCCTGGGGGGATCCCAGCCCTTACCCAGGGGCTTGCCTGACCTGCAACCCCACCCCCAGGCGGAATTCGATGCTGATGATGAACCTGCTGGCCTTTGTGTCTGCGGTGCTCATGGGCTTCTCGAAACTGAGCATGTCCTTTGAGATGCTGATCCTGGGCCGCTTCATCATTGGGGTGTACTGTGGCCTGACCACTGGCTTTGTGCCCATGTACGTGGGGGAGGTGTCACCCACGGCCCTCCGAGGGGCTCTGGGCACCCTGCACCAGCTGGGCATCGTTGTTGGCATCCTCATCGCCCAGGTAAGCAGGGCCGTGTCTGCTCGCCAGCACTGCCCCACCTACAGCTTCAGTGGCTCTCGGCTCTGTCCGACGCAGCATAGCTCCCCCATCAGCCTGCTAAACCACCAAACCCATTGCCGTCGAGTCGATTCCAGCTCATAGTGACCCTATAGGACAGAATAGAACTGCCCCATAGGGTTTCCAAGGCTTTAAATCTTTACAGAAGCAGACTACCACATCTTTCTTCCACAGAACAGCTGGTGGGTTCAACACCAACCTTTCAGTTTAGTAGGATCAGCCTCCTTCAGCCCTGCAAACAAAGATGTACTACATGACCCAGGCACAGGCCCCAGAGGGCATTCCTCCGACTCAAATCTCCTGTGGGCCGGTGGAAGAGCAGGTCCAGATGACTTGACCCCTCTCACTCCAGCCCATTTAGCCCTGTGTCCTTTCTTCTCACCTGGAATCTGACCATGGTGAACCCCATGTCCTTCAACGGGCCAGGCTCTACAGGCCTTTAGGCCTTCACATACACTGTGCCCTCTCCCCGGGGCCCTGGTGGTGCAGTGGTTAATTGTCTGGCTGCTAACCACAAGATCAGCAGTTCCAATCCACCAGCCACTCCTTGGAAACCCTATAAGGCAATTTTACTCTGTCCTATAGGGGTCACTATGAGCCAGAATCGACTATACAGCAACGGGTGGTGTGTGGTGGTGCCCTCCTAGAAGGATTTCCCTTCTCCTCAGCCCCTAAGCCCTTCTGTGGCACAGTAGCAGCCCCCTGCCCATGCTAGATACATTTGTAGCTGTCCTGTCGTGTCTTTTGTCCTCCTAGTCATGTCATGAGGGAGGTCCTATGTTGCCTGTGTTACAGATGAGAAAACTGAGATTCAGAGAGTTTAAGCCTCATGTTAGTAGCAGGGTCGGCAGGAGCCCAGATCCCCCTGGCTTCAGAACTGGAGCTCTTTCCCTAAAGCAGCAGCTACACTGCCGTGCACACAAGGCCTAGCCCAGAGCAAGCAGAGGCCACTGTGGTTCGGATGGGTTGGGAGTAGAGGTTGGGGCCGGGGAGCCCACAGCTGCTTCCTCTGTCCCTACTTTTTTCCCTAGGTGTTCGGCCTGGACTCCATCATGGGCAACGAGGAGCTGTGGCCCCTGCTGCTGAGTGTCATCTTCATCCCAGCCCTGCTGCAGTGCATCCTGCTGCCCTTCTGCCCCGAAAGTCCCCGCTTCCTGCTCATCAACCGCAACGAGGAGAACCGGGCCAAGAGTGGTACGGCCGGGCCCTGCCCCACCTGTCCCTGAGCCCCGGCCTTCTCCCCGCTCTGAGCCACCCCCACCTTCCCTCCGGCCCCCCCAGTGCTGAAGCAGCTGCGCGGGACAGCAGATGTGACCCGTGACCTGCAGGAGATGAAGGAGGAGAGCAGGCAGATGATGCGGGAGAAGAAGGTCACCATCCTGGAGCTGTTCCGCTCGCCCGCCTACCGCCAGCCCATCCTCATCGCCGTGGTACTTCAGCTGTCCCAGCAGCTGTCGGGCATCAACGCTGTGAGTGCCCTCACCCACCATTTCCCGTGGCCCCAGCCAAACCTTTGCTCAAGTGTGTGCTATGACCAAACCCCAAACTCGTTTTTTACTCACCCTGTGTCCCACGCCCACTGGTACAGAGGCAGGGGGACAGCCACAGTGCCCAGCCAAGCCCTAACGACTTCTCTGTCCGGTAGGTCTTCTACTACTCCACAAGCATCTTTGAGAAGGCAGGCGTGCAGCAGCCTGTGTATGCCACCATCGGCTCCGGCATTGTCAACACTGCCTTCACCGTCGTCTCGGTGAGTCCTTGCTTGCCGTTAGTCAGCAGCCAGGATGCAGCTCGGGGCCTGAGGGCCTCATTTGCTGAAAGCCAGGCACCGTGTCTCTCTCTGGCTCTATAAGTGCCATCTCATCTCATCCTCAAAACAACGTGTGAAGTTCATTACTCATATCTCACAGCTGAAGTCACTGATGCTCACAGAGGTGAAATGGCTTCCCAAGGTCACAGCCAGGATGCTCAGCTGTCTGGCTGTCTGGGGCCAGCTCTCACCCCCTCACCCTGATCTGGCCCCCAAGCTGAGCACCAGCAGGAGGCAGTACTGTCTTCCTCACTGGTCTCTGCAGGGCCCGTGTGGCTTTCCCGGTTGAAGAGGCCAGCCTGTGGGTGGGAGCATTTGGAGGGGCGCCAGGCTGGTGCTGACACTCTCTCTGCCCATAGCTGTTTGTGGTGGAGCGAGCCGGTCGGCGGACCCTGCACCTCATCGGCCTGGCTGGCATGGCGGGCTGTGCTGTGCTCATGACCATCGCGCTGGCACTGCTGGTGAGTCATCCGCTCTGGAGTTTGAGGCTTCAGCAGGTGGCAAGCTCACCACAGGGCTTGATTCCTAAGTGCCTGTCTTGGTCCCAGCCCAGGCTGGCCAACTGAAGGCCAGGTGGAAGTTGCTGTTTTCCCTAGGTGCCCCGCACCTCGAGGTTGAGCCTGACCTTCTAACCCTCAGGTTGTCTCCTTCTACCCTCCTCACACCCCGTCTGAAACTTGTGTCTCTCCACTTGGTGGTTTCTCTCCACAGCCCAGGTCCCAAGTTTCCTTCTCCCAGTGAGTTGCTTGGCCCAACACGAAACTTTTCAGAGTCTTTGTCTATAGCCTCAATTAATCTTCAGAACAACCATCCTCACTACAGAGGTGCAGAAACACGCCCTATCGCTTAGTTCTCACAACTTGTGTGCAGTTCAGGTATTATCCCCATTTCATGGGCAAAGAATCCTACTAACCCAGGGAGTTTAGTAATGAGGCAAGTAAAGGATGAAGCCAGGAATCAAACCTCCGTCCTGCTGACCACAAGCCCGTGCCTAACCACTGTGATACCCTGTGCCAGGCACTTCACACACACGAACACCAACTGTCCAGCCTCTGGGCAAGGAGGGCACCACTACGCTTGTTTTACAACTGAACCAAGGCTTAGAAAGCCCAGTAATGGCCAGGAGGCTCAGCACGCATGCCTCAAGTGAGTGGCTGATCTGGGATTTGAACCAAAGCCCATTCTCCAGTGGCCTCCTAGAGGAGAATGATTACCCATAGAATCACATGCCTGGTGCCCACTCCATGCAGGCCCTGAGCTGGGCAGGTTATAAGCCTTCCAGCGTGGATCCACCCCCACGCCCAGGAATGTCTCCACATGCTCCTGCCACAAGGCAGACTGCTCTGCATCCAGAGCCAGGGGGCCACAGAGGCCTCTTCTTTGCACCTCCCACACACAGCACATTACCATTCCCAGAGGGCGGACACAGCCACCCTGCAGGGCTGAAATTATTCTTTCTCCAGCTGAGGAAACAGACCCAGCGCAGAGTACCTAGGGCACACAGCAAATCCAGGATCAACCCCAGGCCTCCTGCCGTCCAGCCCAGAGTGCTTAGCCCTGTCCTGCCCTGCCTCTGCCCCTTTCCCCTCTGCTGATCCATTGCAGCCCAGACTAACTCCACTTCTCTCCCTCATCTTCAACAGGAGCAGCTGCCTCAGATGTCCTATCTGAGCATTGTGGCCATCTTTGGCTTCGTGGCCTTCTTTGAAGTGGGCCCCGGCCCCATACCATGGTTCATTGTGGCTGAACTCTTCAGCCAGGGTCCTCGCCCAGCTGCTGTTGCTGTCGCTGGCTTCTCCAACTGGACCTCAAATTTCATTGTGGGCATGTGCTTCCAGTACGTGGAGGTGAGTACCCCCATTGTCTCACACTTACCATTTCTCACCTCCAAGCGTGAACTCGCGCCACTGGGTATAGACGGAAGATATTTACATACACATTTTTGGTTGTATTAAATACAGACATTTAGTTGTAGTTTATCCAGACAAACCACATATAAATACACCACCTCACTCCCTCCATAACTTACCTGAACAGATATAAATGGCTGGCTTTTAGAACATGGTTTTGATATGTGCTGTGCAAAGTGTTCTCCCAGCTGTTCTTGTTAGGAATCATGTTGAGGAGGGAATTGAGGCTCAGAAGCCCAAGGTCACATAGCTAAGAACCCTGACCTCAACTCCAGTGTTCTTTCCTTAGCTTTGCATTATCTCCTACTCCTGCCTGCAGCGGGAGCCCGCTCCTGTGTTGTGAAGGTGCCCCTGGAGCCTATTTCATGCCAGGTGCAGGCACACAGTCTCATGTAATTGTCACAGCATCCCTGGGTTGTAGTGGGTGTTTCCTTTTTCCAATCAAGGGCCCGAGGGCCCGAAGGTAAAGTGACTTATCCAAGGTGCTACAGCCACGATGTACAGCCAGGACTCTAACCAAGTGTGTGTGTGCCTGTGTGTTTTTCAGCAACTGTGTGGCCCCTATGTCTTCATTATCTTCACTGTGCTCCTGGTCGTGTTCTTCATCTTCACCTACTTCAAAGTTCCTGAGACTAAAGGCCGAACCTTCGATGAGATTGCTTCTGGATTCCGGCAGGGGGGAGCTGGTCCAAGTGACAAGACACCCGAAGAGCTGTTCCACCCCCTGGGGGCTGATTCCCAAGTGTGAGGCGCCCCACACCACCAGCCCGGCCTGCTCCCAGCAGCCTCAAGGATCCCTCGGAGCACTGACAGCTGGACAAGACTTCCAAGCTGACATGTGTCAGCAAAGCCGGGCCTGGGGCTCCTTTCTTCAACCAGCAATGATGTCCAGAAGAATATTTAGGGCTTGAATGGCTCCAGGATTTTAACTGTTGCTCAAGCAAGACTGTTGCTCAATCTATTCAGTCAAGCAACAGGTTTTATAATTTTTTTTATTACTGATTTTATTATTATTTTTTTATCAGCCAAAGTCTCCTGTACCCACACCCCAGCTTCACCCTGAATGACTCTGTACTTGAGGGTAGGGACCAGGCCCTTTTCAGGCACTTGCCTTCTTCACCAAGCTAATCTGTAGGGCTGGACCTCTGACCAAGGACACACTAATAGAATATGAACTACGAGGCTTCTCCCCTAGGAGGTAGCTAAGGCCACTTCTTCTGCAGGCTAGGATCTCCCCGCCTCTGTTCAGGCGCCATTAAGAGTTGTCCATTCCCATCTCTTCCTACCCAACCACTCAAATTAATCTTTCCTTGCCTGATACCAGTTGGGAGCACTGGAGTGCAGGGAGGAGAGGGGAAGGGCCAGACTGGACTGCCAGGTTCTAGTCTCCTTTGCACTGAAGCCAGAGGATCACCATTAGAGGAAGGCCGTGGGAGGCTGAGAACTCACTGCTCAAGAAGACATGGATACTCCTGCCCTGCTGTGTATAGATGGAAGATATTTGTGTGTATATATATATATATATTTTGGTTGTCAATATTAAATACAGACACTAAGTTATAGTTTATCTGGACAAACCAACTTGTAAATACACCACTTCACTCTCTCTGTAACTCACCTAAACAGATATAAATGGCTGGTTTTTAGAAACATGGTTTTAAAATGCTTATGGTTGAAGGTAAAGGGATTTGGATGGGAGTGGGAGGAGAAGTAAGCTGGGATGCAACCACTTCTGTGGCTTTAGACTTTATTGACTCAGAATCCAGTCCCTTCCAAACACCTCTGATCAGTGCCCTCTGTTGCTCAAAAATCTGTGTGATCTCTATTACCCAGAGGAAATCTAAATTCTTTATCTTGGCCTTCAAGGCATTACCATATTCCTTGACATAATATAGGATAGCTGGTGTTCAAAAAAATGATAGCCATGTGTGCAAAGCGTGATGCCTCAGGCCTTCATAGGCATTATCTCAAATGTAAATTAAGTAGGTACTATATCCACATTTGACAGACTCAGAGAGGTCATGTGCCTGAAGTCTTATAGCAGCAAATATGCTAAAACCACTGCTTTTAACAATTACACAGCCCCTACCCCAGACCACACACCCTCTCCCAAGCAAAATGAACTTGTTCAACTATAGGGACCCAGGGAGCTGTCAAGCTGCCTTCTCCCATGTGGTTTCTTTTGGAAATGCCCCCTCTGGTTCCAGCTTGCCTCCTCTCTCAAGACTTCTGCCCCCCATCCCTGAATTTCAAGAGTACTTCATTTGTTTCTTTACTGTGGCATTGCAGCCTTCTACCCTTTATCACAAGTCGTAATTTCTCTCACAACAACAGTCTGAATTTCATGGAAAGAAGCTGATTATGTTATTTGGGTCCTCAGCACCACTCAGTATAGTGCCTGGCACACAGCAAGCACCCAGGAAATTGCTGAGGAAATGAAGAGCCAAGGATATTTGCCCCACTAGTGACTCAGCCGGCAAAATCGGGGGCGAACTTGCCTGCCTTGGGGCCTTTATAACTGCACACAGGCAAAGCTATAAAACCTTAGCATGGACTAGTAGGGAGGGAGTGAGAAAGGAAAACTGGTACTTGGCAAATGCAAGGGCCTTGAGTGTATTTTCGGAAACACTGGTGGGGTAGTAGTTGAGTTTTGGCTGCCAACCAAAAGGCTGGCAGTTCGAATCCACCTGGTGTTCCTTGGAAACCCTATGGGGCAGTTCTACTCTGTTACATAGGGTCACTATGAGTCGGCACTGTGGACGGGCACGGGTTTGGGTTTTTTGTTTGTTTTAGTGTATTATCAGTGCAAAGTACTTATGAGTTCTCCATCCGCAACTCACGGCGAAGTTTAATAAGAGAAGGGATGAGCCAAGGAAGTGCTGGGGCCAGATGAGAGGCTAAGTGGAACGGAGGAAGCCTTAACGTGTCCCCAGAAGGCTTCCAGTGAGCAGCAGCTCTGTTGAAAGGAGTGGTGTCCATAGCTTCAAGGACGAGGGGAGACCCAGAGTCCGGAGAAGGGAGTCGGGGGCCACTGGATCGGAAAGACACAGACCAAGGTGAAGGAGGACGACGGGAGGGGCGCACCAGCGGTCAAACGGTCACGCCTCAGAGCCCCAGCATTACTGTCAAGGCTGGAGCTTAAGGATGGCAAGGCAGATGGCGCACAGGGCTTGTCCCACTCACTTCACGTCCGCGCGCGGGACAGCTTCGAAGGAGGTGGCAAAGCCAGGAGCACTTCCAGCCCCGCCCCCCGGTCCAGAGGTCTAGGCTGGGGTAAAAAGGCCCGAGACCCTACAACCCGGTCCCTCCTGGGTCTGCAAACACGCTCCCAAGCGCCGGCCAGGTTCCACCTGGCAAAATGAAGCGCAGGCGCCAGGAGCCTGGGCCCGCCCCTAACTGTGGCCCACAATGCTCCGGGAGGTACAGCTTCCGATTACTTTACCCTTTTTCCCTGGGCTCCTCAATTCACCAATAGTGTAGAAGATTTGAGGCCAGGATTCGACCGCCTACTGCCGGAGGCGATCGGTCATCCTCCCCAGGCCCTAACTGGTAGCGCTCCAAACCGGCTTGTCTGCGGCGCACGGACTCCTAGACTCTCTGTCAACCTGTAGAAGAGGCGGAGATATGTGCGATCTCCACCAATCAGAGTCTGCATTGTACGTCCAACCAGGGGGCGGGGCCCGAAGCCTACACCAATTACAGCATGGTTGCCCACCAGGCGGCGGTCGCAAGAGAGGGATCTTTGGGGCGTTACGAACCTCCACCTTCCGAGAAGTGCAGTTTACTCGAGGAGGGAGGGACTGAATTGTTTAGTGCCGGACATCCTGGGGGACTGTAGCTCACCTTGGGTACACATCGCGCATAAGGTGACGTCTACGCTTTCTGACGACAAGAGTAAATAGGTAACTGGGCTGCTCCCCAGGCTCCCTTCTTTTCCCATCAGTGCTTAGTTAAGAGCATTGACAATTTTGTGACATCCCTTTATCTGCAATCCTAGGCGCTATAGTCTCCTCTCCCCGGAAACGTTTTCACCCCAGGCTGAATCAGGTTTCCCCTGTGGACTCC